AGCACATCCATGTCACAGGCGATTTGCTGATTCGCAGCCAGGCTGGGTTCAGTTGGGGCGATGGTGGGTGAAGTTGGTAAGGCAAGCTGCCCAGTGGCGAGCCGCGGATCCAACAGTGTGTTGAGTTTCACTGGTGACGCGGATGTGACGTGCATGCACCGTCTTCACTTACATTTGATTCGATAAGGATCAGCCAAAACTCTACGTAAATATGTTTCTGTATACATGCTCAAACCACATAACGATATGTTCCTCCACTCCTCTCCCTTCTTGTACAGTACGGTCAGCAAAACACATACCGTACGGTACAATTCTTTTAATTAGAAGTTCAGGAGTTGAAAAAAAAACACATTCCCGGTGCACTAGACTGGTCTGACTGTACAGGTGCTATGTTAGTCACGTTAGACAGGTCAGACAACTACAGGTCAATGAAAGTGACAATGGAGGACAGTGAGTCGTCCTCCACACAACTAGACCTAAGGTCAGCGAGTCGTTGGAGGTGCTCTGTTTGGGATGTGGTTTCGACAGTCTCAGCCTCGTCCCCGGAATCATCCAAGTGAGACACCTCTGGGACTCAATAATGCGAATGGAATCTAGCCCTGGGAATTCCTGATGGATGATTTGAATGTCAAGTAGGTCACAGTTAGTGTGTGCCAGCTCCAGCTCTCGAAAATCAGTAGCTCTGAAGGGTCTGCTGTCCCGTAGTCCCTGGATACCTTTAACGAGCGTGGCCGCTTACTAGCTCCAAGGGTGATGTGGCTGAAACGTGCAGTTTTGAGGCCGCTGCATGCCTTCAAAAGAGCAACACCTGGAGAGCATACAAGCATCAATCTAATGTTAGATTGTCGTCATACAACACATGAAAGAAGGGCTCCGTGAGAGAGAAAGAGACAGAGAGAGAGGGGGGGGAGAAGAGAGGAGAGAGAGAGAGCGAGAGAGAGAGAGAGAGAGAGAGACGGAGAGAGAGAGAGAGAGGGGAAGCGGAGAGAGACGGAGAGTAGAGAGAGAGAGAGAGAGAGCGAGAGAGAGAGAGAGAGAGAGAGAGAGAGCAGGAGAGGATCTGAGCGAGCTCGAGCTCTCAGCTCGTAGACGAGAGAGGAGAGATCTCTCTCTCTCTCGCGCTCGAGGAGAGGAGTCTCTCCTTCTCTCTGCGAGGGAGAGAGTCTATCGACTCAGATCTCTCTCTCTCTCTCTCAGCTCGAGGGGAGTGAGAGACGATCTGTTGCTCTCCTTCTCGAGAGAGAGAGAGAGAGAGAGAGAGAGATGAGGAGAGAGGAGAGAGAGAGAGAGAGAGAGAGAGAGAGAGAGATATTATTGAGGTGCATTATCAGTTACCATCTAGAGTGATAGCCTCTCCTGCAAGTTCCAAGTGTTGAAGGCAGACCCATCCAGCCACCATGGCAGCTATACATTTATTATCCAGACCACCGCAGTCTCCTGAAGGCGACCATAGACGGAAAACTTCTATCTGGGGGCACCTTTGAATAAAATTGAATATCCATTGGGGTACGTCACTCTTCAATCCAGACTTCCCTGCGTTATAATAGATCTCGCAGACCTCCAAACACCTGCACCGGAAAATACATATTATTAAAGCTTAATGGTTCAGAACATGAGCACTCTGGAAAGAAAAAAAAAATGATTGACGCACCTGCAGTGGTTCGTAACCCTAGTCATGAGGTCAGTGTAAAAGGGTGCACTTCTGTAATCCTTCTTGTAGATGTTGCAACCTGTGGATACTAAGAGTCTTTTCAGACTGGAACTTGACGATATCAGCACCTCTTCTACGCCATCCATCCAGGCCGAGCTGAAACGAACAGAAAATGAGAAAATTGAGGACGTGAAACGTTCTAGTAGAAAGTGTACAATGAGTATGCGTAAACTGAGTACTTCAAACTCTTGCCTCTTGACTTTGCTTCTCACCAATATGGTACAGAAAGGCCTCTGGGATGAATCGGATCACGAGAAACATGAAGCTCGGACAACTTTCCACAATGTTTGGAGATTAAGACTAACAAACGCCTCGAATATTCCGGAACTTTTAGCTCTATGCTCTTCCAGAGCTCATCGGATGCCACCGCCTCCTTCCAATCTCTGCCTAATATCGACAATCGGCACAGCTCTACTGGACTCAACCTGCTCTTCGATAGTATTCGGCTGATAAGCTCTGGTCCTAGGTCATCCATCCGGCCCATGCCTCCCTACAGTGAAGCTAAACGGGACAACCATCTACACAGCGATTGAGCTCTATCGAGCCAAACCACACGCACAGCTCGCTCCACCAAAACCATGACCACGCCGACAAGAGTGAGAACCACTGCCGACAAGATGGCCAGGTCAAGGTGTGCAAGGGCGAAACTGGGGAATGCTTGCAGAAAAGTTCGACGAATAAAAGGAAATGTTGGTGTCGTGAAGGTCGTGTGGCTGGTTTGGGTGCCACGCACGGAAAATGCAGGGGACACGAAACATGGTACACTGATTGCCCAACCTCGCCTAATCTATTTAGCAGCTTCATGGTACGCTAGGCTGCGCAGGAGGCGGTCTCATCTGGTCCCTATGTAAATTTCTTCCACTTCCCATCAGTTTTTCCTTGCTGTTCGCCCTCACTGTTCCTTCCCTTTTGCCCATGCCCTGCCACCAGAAGAGACCCACTGTTCACGTAACCTGGAAGCCCCCAGAAGAAACCCTCCTTCACGTAGGCTGTTCTCCAGTGAATACCTTCGTCATCGCCTGGAATACCATCGTACCCTCCTGCTCAACGCTCATAAGCGGTGTCAGGTGTAAATCGAAATTCCAGCAGTATGGTTGGCCCGCGAAAGGGGCTGTTTTTGAGACTTCAAATTGGAACACCAAGCGTGTGTAACATTGGCAAACCACATATCTCATGGGAAGGGACTGTTATATCATCCAAAATGCTTGGGGTTTCTAGTTTCCATCCGAACATGGCCTTTTTCGTATATGTTTTGCACCCCAAGAATCTCGCTGTCTTAATCTAAGGCTTATCCCAATCCTACCTTACTCTGGTTATTTTAACAAGTACCATTTTCCCACCTTACACCATCTTGGGTCATGCTGAAACGAGGATAGTAGAAACGGGTTCTCTGTATCGCGCCTCCAATTTACGTGCGGTACGGCCAAAATCTCACGGAACTTCTCTGTGAAACCCCGAAGCTGGTGTTTCCGTCAAAGCGATTCTTCTGCTCCGCAAAACCACGTCATCCCTGACGCCAATCATCCAGTCAAGCAGCGCTCCGTCAAAGCGGAACGAAGTTGGAGCCTCTCCACCTTTCCACCGTCAGGAACGGCAATCCCTAGGCCATCCATCCACGTGTTTGTTAGACCAGGTTTGGAAGGTTTCGGTATGGCCTAGTGTGTTACTGTACGGTGATATGGCCATTCCAAGGCCATCCTTCTCTCACACTTGAAAACAGACAGTCTCTAAGGAGGCTCTGGCAAGGAAAAAGGTCCCTCACCACCACACAAATTGGTGGAGAATGAGGCATCAGTAACACCAGTCACGGAGGGGGTAGTCATGGCTTCCCAATGAGCTGTGCGGAACTTATATCAGGACAATAGCGAATTAATTATTAAGCTGCTCCATTCTTTCCGCTTTACGGTTATTATTATTAAATATTTACCTGATGAGTTGCTTGATATCTTTACCGATGCACGACAGGTGTTAAGCCATGACTGGTCCATATAGAGGTTCCCGATGGACCTCACAAGACGGTAGGCCGTTAGCCAACGGCCGCTTAGGCGCAGAGCTATCGCCGCCTCGCGGGCTGCACGCTCGACTTCCATCGTACGAGGATCAGCAGGGCCAAGCGGAACAATCTCAGTCGCAGCAGGCTCAGGCGCAGCAGCAGGTATACTGGGAGCAACAACAGCAGCAACAGCAGCAGCAGCAGCAGCAGCAGCAGGGTCAGCAGCAATGGCAGGAGTCGCCGCTGCGAATGCCGCCAGCGCCGGTGCCGTACGGCCAGCGGCAGCACCAGCAGCTGCTGCAGCAGCAACCGCCTCGGTCGGGCCTGAGCGCTCGACCGCGTGCGACAGCCAGTGCGTCGTACGAACAACGGCCGTCGTACGATCACCGACCGCCGTACGATCACCGTGCGTCGTTGGATCAACGGCCGTCGTACGATCGAAGGCCGTTATCCGCAGCTCCCGTTTACTCCGTGGTTCGCTCGTACAGCACGGACGCTCCTCCCGATTTCTACAATCCGCGACCGCTTTCGGCAGCAGCGGGCGTGCCACGTGGCCGCAGTGTGAGCGACGACGATGGGTATACTGGAGACGACGCGACGTCAGGTCGACCAATGGTTGACCGACCCGTGGAAGGCCGACAGACCGGTCCTTCATCCGGTTATCCCGCGAACCCTTATCAGGCGCCTTCTCAGCCACCTTATCAGGCACCTTATCAGGCGCCTTATCAGGTGCCTTATCAGCCGCCGCAGCCGCCGTACCATCACCCGCAGCTTAGTCCGCACGGCGGCGACATTGCGTTGAAAAAGCCTCTTAGTCCGAGACGGGTCAGGAGCCCTAGAGCGCTTAGCCCGCTCGCAGCTGCCGCGTTCGGCATGAGAGGGGGCTACGGCGCGCCAGGGAGGGGGGGCGAGGAGTGCGCGTACGGGGAAGACGAGGAGGGGGAGGAGGAGGAAGGCAGGGAGCGGAGCTTGCGCGCGGGGATCCTGAGAGGCGCGGCGGCGCTGAGAGAGCGCCAAGCGGGGTCGTCGGACGATGGCGCGAGCACCTCCCCCACGTCGTTAGGCTCCCCGGGGTTTCTGCCCGGGGGGGGCGCGGGATGGAGCGGAGGGGCCGGCGGAGGATTAGGCGGCGCAGGCGGAGGATCTGAGCCGTCGAATCGTCCCAGCACTTCGAGCAGCACGAGCAGCACCATGAGCGGCGGCGGCGGCGGGTTTGGCGGAGGGTTTGGCGGAGCGGGGAATAGCAGCAGCAGCAGCAGCAGCAGCAGCACGGGGGTGAAGGTTTTACGCGGAGTCATGGCGGGGGGATCTGTGGGCAGAAGCGGGGGAACAACCCTAGCGGGGAAGCAGGTGGTGATTCGGATTCGACCCAGAGGCGGCTCCATAGACGCGTCGCATGGAGTGGGTTCCACCAGCAGCGGAGGCAGCGGCGGCGGCGGTGACGGCGGTGGCGGCGGCGCGGCGGACGTAGGCAGTGGCGCGGCGGCAGCGGGTTTCACGGCGACGGTGACGGCTGTGCTTCCGGCGGGCGCGGGGTCCCCCCAGTCCCCGTCCAGCGCGCGCAGACGCGAGGGCGGGGGCGGAGCAGGCGGAGGGAGGGCGCTCGAGGGGGTAGGACGGCACACATTCGCAGTGGACAGCAGCACAGGCGGCGGATCAGGCGATGCTGCTGCGGAAGGCGGGTATTCCCGAGAGGCCAACCTCACCCTCCCTGGGAAGCGAACCGACGCCTCGGCCGAGCCTAGGTTCAAAGGCGTGACGCGGTTAGGCTCGGTGGCGGCTGCGGAAGCAGCAGCTGCGGCAATCGCGGTGGCGGATGCTGCTGCTGCGGCGCAGGCGGGGAAAGCGGGGTGGGAGCCGCCGCTCAGCCCCACAGGGGTGCCTGTCATCCCGCCGGAGGGCCGTCTGAGCAGTGAGGGAGACGTTTTCCTGGAGTACCTGCGCAAGGCGGGGGAAGGCAGGGCAGCTGCGCAGTATGACGTGGCAGTGTGCTATGGGGGAGGTTTTGGCGTGAAGCAGGATAAGTCCCTCGCCGCGTACTGGTTCAGAAAGGCGGCGGAGCAGGGCTTGGCGCGCGCACAGTACGCTCTGGCGGAGTGCTACGAATCAGGCGCGGGGGTGGAGAAGGACGAAGAGGAGGCGTTCCGGTGGTTCTTCCGGGCGGCAAGCTTCGGCAGCGGCAAGTATCTGGTGAAACTCGGGCTGTGCTTTGAGCGGGGGTTCGGCGTGACAGAGTGCCCGGTGGCAGCGCTGTACTGGTACCACAAGGCGGCAGAGCAGGGGCCCAAGTTTGCCGCGCAGGTGGAGAAGCGCATGGAGGTGCTGCAGCGGCAGAGGGAGGAGGAGATCATGAGTGCGCGCGGGGAGGGGGTGCCTGTGGAGTGCATCTGCCCGCTCACTGGGAGGATGATGGAGGATCCGGTTGAGCTGCCTGAGACGAACGTGTGCTGTGAGCGCGCCCAGGTGAAGACGTTCTGGGACCACTGCGAGCTGCGTTGCCCCGTTACCAACCAGGTCGGTTACTAACCTAATCGGTTGCCAACCAGGTGAGTGGGATTCTAGGCAGGTTGTCACACCCTCTGGTTCTTGAGACATCTCAAAAGGGTTGTCACACCCTCTGGTTCTCTCCGCTTGTTACCCGCTCCTTCCAGGCTTCCTTCTGTCCTGTTTAGACCCTTCAACCTTATCTCTCCACTCCTCCCACCCACCTTCCCTCCTGCTGCCCGCTTGCTCTCCTGTTGCCAGCCTCTCAAGGTGAAGGACATGAAGACAAATCTAGCCATCCGGCGCCGAGTCACCGAGTGGAAGGTACGCTCCCTTCAATTCCCAGAACCTTCGTTTCCCTCTTTCCAAAATCTTCCCCTGCCCTCCCCGTCATTTCATGTCACCACCACTGTCTCCCGTCCCAACCCATGTCATGTCACCCCACAAACAGCCTGCCTATCCATTCCTCACTCCCCTCTCCTGCTCCTCATCCCTCTCTCTCCTCTCTCTCCCCTCTCTCCCCTTCCCCCCACCCACCATCCTTTTTCTCCTTAACCCCTCACTCCCAAACCCCAACCAAACCTTCAGCGCAGGAGGCAGGCAGTGCAAGGCACTGTTATTGAGGCGCCTAAAAATAGAGCCGCTCTCCGCTCCCCCTCACCCTCTCCTTGCCCCTCTTCCCCCCTCTCTCTTTGATCCCTGATTCCCCAAACCCCGGCCAAACCTTCAGCGCATGCTTCAGGTGGAGCAGGAGCACTGCAGGCTCAGTGGGGCCTCCAATACGTCCTCTCCTCCCGTCTCACTCTCTCCTCCTCTCTCTCCCCCCTTCCTCCCTTCCCCCCCCCGTCAGCACAAGCGGCAGGCAGAGCAGGAGGTGCTGCAGGGGTCAGTGGTGTCTCCTAAATTGAGCCCCTCTCTTTCTTCTCCTCCTCTCCTCCCCTCTCCCCCGTTTCAGCGCAAGCGGCAGGCGGAGCAGGAGGCGCTGCAGGGGTCAGTGGTGCCCCGAGCATCCACCTGCCAGGCAGTGCTGAGCGATGAGTGGGGGGCGGAGAGGGAAGATGAGGGGGGCCACGGCAGGGCTTATGGGCCGCATGGGGAGGAGGAAGAGGAGGAGGAGGAGGGTGTGGGTGGGTTGGGGAATGTAGGGGGCTCGGGGAGGGGAGGAGGTGGAGAGAGGGAGGGAGAGAGGAGGAAGAGTCGGTTTTCTAGGGATTTGTCGGAGGAAGGGGAGAGGAGTGGGGCGAGTGAGAGTGAGGAGGAAGAGGAGGAGGTTGGTGGGGGGTCGAGGGGGGTAGGTGGGGGGGATACGCGGGATGAGGTTGGAGGGGGGAGGAGGAGGGGGGCGAGGAGGGATAGGCACAGTGATAGTGATACTGGTTCATCGTATGTGAGTGATGAGGAGGATTATGATGATGATGATTACGATGATGGGGAGCAAAGGAGTAATAGGCACAAGAAGAAAACGTATGATGACGAGGACAAGTATGATGACGAGGATGAGGATTATACTTCTAGTGAGTACGACAGAAGCGAGGATAGATCGACAGACAGCGAAGGGTACAGGGAGGGGAGCAGGAAGGGGGTAGACCGTAGAAGTAGTAGTCCTAGAAAGGGATCTGGGAGGGGGCGAGGCATCAGCAGCAGGGGGAGAAAGGATGAAGATGGTTCGGACTATAGTGACAGTAACTACAGCCATAGTGACACTGACGACGGGGAAGGCGAGGAGGGGGGCAGAGGTGGCAGAGGCAGGTCCAGTCGAGTGGCAGAGGGGAGCCGAGACACGAGCTTTAAGTCACGAGAGGGGGACAGCGAGGAGGAGGGAGAGGAGGGGGAGGAGGTGGCAGTGGGGCGGGCGCTGGCTCGTGATTCGTCCCGCGACTTGTCTCACAGCTACAGCCGGGATTCATCCCGGGCGTACAGTGAGAGCGTGCCATCTGAGCCGTCCATGCGGCGAGATGCGTCCCTGGATGAGCCTGCGCGAGTCAAGGTGTCCATCCCTCGGGGTGGGTCTGTTGGTGGGTCTGTGAGAGGGGAGGGTGTTGTGAGGAAAGAAGGGTATCTGTCTGGTGAGGAGGACGGAGACGGAGGAGAGGGGCTTGTCGTGAGTAAGGGCGAGGCGGAAGAGGGTGGAGAGGGGGAATGGAAGGGGGAGGAGCTGAAGCAAAGTGTGGGCGGAGTGGGAGTGGGTGAGGGTGAGGGGTTGGGGATTGGTGGGGTTGGGAGGGGGGAGTCAGGAGAGGGGTTGGAGGCGGAGGGGTGGGAGGAGGAGGAGGAGGAGGGGGAGGGGGAGAAGAGGGACCCAACGGAGCTGCTGCTGGAGGAGCTAGCTCAGGCCGAGCTGGACTATGGCTTCCCCGGGGCTAATGTGAGTGCTCTTATTGCTTGGTTGGTGAATGGTTGGTGAATGGTTGGTGAATGGTTGGTGAATGGTTGGTGAATGGTTGGTGATCGTATCACTGGGTGCTCTTAATACTTGGATGGCGCTCTTTTATTCGTCAATGTTGATTTCCCCGGGGGGGGGGGGGGGGGGGGTTCTTGTGTGTGCTCGTGCAGTGCAGCAAGTGTTTCAATCAGCACGAGCATCTGCCGCTTGTGTTGATTGGCGTTTGGTGCTCAATGCTCAGTCATTCCTGAGTTACTGCAACAACACTGTTGTCAAATTGGCTTGGCCTGTCCCTCCATCTCACCCCCCTCCCCAACCCCCTCCCCCCCCGCACAGGTGAGTCCGCGCACGGTGAGTCGGTGGAACAGCACGCGCGAGGACAGCCTGCAGGCCGTCAAGAGCGTTGTGGCCGAGGTGAGTGAGGGGGGAGGGGAGGGGAGGGGAGGGAGGGAGGTGAGGTGAGGGGTTGGGGAGGTGAGGCGGGAGGAGAAATGAGGGGCGAAGGGGAGGTGAGGTGGGGAGGGGAATGAGGGAAGGGAAAGGTAGGGGTGCGGGAGGGGATGGAAAGGGAGGTGATGGGAATTGACGGGATGTGACGAGAGGTGAGGGGAGACGACGACAGGCGAGGGGAGATGGCGAGACGTGAGGGGAGATGGCGAGACGTGAGGGGAGATGGCGAGACGTGAGGGGAGATGGCGAGACGTGAGGGGAGATGGCGAGTGGCGAGGGGAGGTGAGGGAAGATGAGGGGAGGGGAGGAAGGGTGGAGAGCAAAGGTGGGTTTGTAGCAATGAGGGGTGCCGCAATTGACTGTGACCCACAGTGGGCCGCATGGTACCTTGACAACCCATTTGCACCGCATTGTGTACCCCCTTTCCCCTCCCTCCTCTCAGGCGGAGCCAGTGATTGCCTGCATGCCGCGGTGGGCCCTGGCACGGTACCTCAAGTACCTTTCACCTGCACCACATCCCATTGCATAGGAACCTCCTAAACGCCATCCCCCCTCCCCGCTCCCCCCCTCCCAGGCGGAGCCAGTGATAGACTGTGGGCCGCGGTGGGCCCTGGCACGATACCTCGAGATGCTGGAGAAGCTGCTGCTCGTGCAGCGGGAAGCTGGCCAGAACCTTCTGGGGTCGTGCGCAGGGGGGCCGGGCGGCTCGGGTAGGGGAGCGTGGGAGGGCGAGGGGGAGGTGTGGGAGGCAGTGGAGGCACTGGAGGGGCTGTGTGCGCGCGGCGTGCAGCAGCTGCTGGACGACTTCAGGGCCGCTCTGCTCGCCTGCAGGTACGGTGTGTGGCATTAGAGCAAGGTGGGTGGCTTGTGAGTTGACTCACAAGTTACCTGAAGGAAGGGGAGGGGGAGGTGTGGGAGGCGGTGGAGGCACTGGAGGGGTTGTGTGCGCGCGGCGTGCAGCAGCTGCTGGACGACTTCAGGGCGGCCCTGCTCGCCTGCAGGTACCTTCCATTCCATGAGTGTTCTTGCGCCCGTGCCTGTGCCGGTGCCTGCGGGTGTGCATGCTTTGATTCAGCTCAAGAGGGGCAGTGCGCGCGCGGCGTGCAGCAGCTGTTCGATGACTTCAGGGCGGCGCTGCTCACCTCAAGTATCTCCCATGGCCGCGCCTGTGCGTGCGCGTGTGCATGGCTTTGATTCGACTCAAGAGGGGGGGCTGTTGGTGTGCAGGGTGCAGCAGCTGCTCGGCGACTTCAGGGCCGCCCCCAACACCTGCCCCCCTCTTCCACCACCCGTCCTCTCCACTACAGCCAGTCATTGGACACAGCAGAGCAGCACGAGGTGGCAGGCAGAGGCAGCAGCAGCAGCCCTCACGAGAAATTTCCGAAAAATTCCAAAGTACCCAACTCTCCACCCTCCCCCTATTCACCCCCCCACCCTTCCCCACTACAGCCAGCCCTTAGACACAGCAGAGCAGCACGAGGCGGCGGCGGCAGCAGCAGCAGCAGCAGTGGCCCTCGTGAGAAATTCCAGAGAATCCTCAATAAGACCCAACACCTCCCTTTCCCCGCCCTCTCCCCCCCTTCCACTCCACCCACTACAGCCAGCCCCTAGACACAGCAGAGCTACACGAGGCGGCAGCAGCAGCAGCAGCCCACTCCTCCCGCTCCTCCTCCTCCGCCCACCAGGTGCCCGGCCACGCGCCCCCCTCCTCCTCCCCCTCCACCTCCGCCTCCCCCGCCCCCGCCATCACCGCCATCTCATCCAAGTCTGGCCCGCTTCCCACCTCCACTGCTAAACCCAAGGGGCACGCGCACAAGGGGGCTGGGGGGTCTGCGCGGGAAGGCGGAGGGGATGGGGGGAGGCACTCCGCCCCCTTCCCCTCGCCTGCTGATACTCACGGTTCTGCTGGTGCTGGTACTGGTGGTGTTGGTGGTGGTGCTGCTGCTGGTGCTGCTGGTGAGGGGATGGGGTCGTTGGCCGGTGATACTGGTTCTGTCACGGGAACTGGGACAGGGAACAATATGTTGAGGAGTGGGAGTGGGAGTGGGAGTGGGAGCAGGGGGGGGAGTGGGAGGGGGAAGGGGAGGGAGAGGGAGGGGAGGCTGATGAGGAGGCCTACTAAGTGGGCGGGGGCGGATAAGGCAGCGGTGGGGCTGCGGCAGGTGGTGCAGGTGCTGGCTAGGGCAGGCCACTTTGACCGCTGCTTTGACATCTACCGGTGGGTCGGGTTGCTGTTGTGCTGGGAATGCGGGTGTGTGGGATACTACTGGTGTGTGGGGCTGTTGGTGGGTGGGAATTGTTGTGTGCGGGGCTGCTGGTGGGTGGGAATTGCTGTGTGCGGGGCTGCTGGTGGGTGGGAATTGCTGTGTGTGGGGCTGCTGGTGGGTGGGAATTGCTGTGTGCGGGGCTGCTGGTGGGTGGGAATTGCTGTGTGCGGGGCTGCTGGTGGGTGGGAATTGCTGTGTGCGGGGCTGCTGGTGGGTGGAGGTGCTGGTGTGGGGGTTCCCCTGTGTGTGTGATGGGCGTTGTAGACGGGAATGGCTTGGCTTGTTGCACTTGATGGAGTTCTCTTCCCATGCATGCGTGTTTCTCATGGGAAGGAAGCATGTGGCTGTGCAGTTGAGTTGAGGCGACTCATTGTGTGTGCTAGGTAAGTGTGCGGTGGTGAATTGGTGGTTTGTTGAGCAATGGAGAGTGTGTAGGAAGCAAAGCTATGTGGCACAGAGTGTCCAGTGGATCACGTACGTATTGCTTGTAACATTCACCTCGTCCCCCTCCCTCCCCTTCTCCCTCAGCCCTCCCTCTCTTTCTCTCGCCTTTCTCCTCCTCCCCACCGTATCTCGCTTCCCTTCCAAGCACCTCAAGTGTCCTCCCCTCTCCCATTCCCCTCTCCCATTCCCCTCTCCCATTCCCCTCTCCCATTCCCCTCTCCACCTCCCTCCCCTCTCCACCTCCCTCCCCTCTCCACCTCCCTCCCCTCTCTCGCCCCCACGGTATCAGGTCGGTGCGGGAGGACTGTGTGCGCGAGACGATAAAGGCATTAGAGGTGGAGCCTATAAGGGGGACGGCGCACGTGAACCAGCTGCCGTGGCAGCAGCTGCAGCACACCATGACGGACTGGCTAAGGGACTGCCGCCTCCTGGTGAGGGGTACTTGTGGGGAGGGGTGCGTGAGGGCTGTTCTGGTGAGGGTTGCTTGTGGGGAGGGCAGCTGCAGCACACCATGACGGACTGGCTAAGGGATTGCCGCCTGCTGGTGAGTGGGTGTGCTGGTGAGGGGTTCGTGTGCTGAGGACACTGGTGGGAGGGGTGCTTGTGCATGTCGAAAGTTGGCCCGTCTTTTCCACACTCCCTGCACCACACTCCAACATCTGCCCAACATCTTCCCAACATCTGCCCAACATTTGACCAACATCTGCCCAACATTTGCCCAACATCTGCCCAACATTTGCCCAACATCTGCCCAACATTTGACCAACATCTGCCCAACATTTGACCAACATCTGCCCAACATTTGTCCAACATCTGCCCAACATTTGACCAACATCTGCCCAACATTTGACCAACATCTGCCCAACATTTGCCCAACATCTGCCCAACATTTGACCAACATCTGCTCAACATTTGACCAACATCTGCCCAACATTTGCCCAACATCTGCCCAACATTTGCCCAACATCTGCCCAAAATTTTGCCCAACATCTGCCCAACATTTGCCCAACATCTGCCCCTCCCTATCCCCACTGCCTCTCCCCTTCTCTGCCCCTCCTCAGCTGCGCACGATAATGGAGGAGGAATTCTCCCTCGCCACTTCCATTTTCGGCATACTCCACTCCACCGCACAGCACCGCACTGCCAGCCGCCGGGAACCCTCCCAACTCCTGCAAACCCCTTCCTCCACCTCCTCCTCCACCACAGCCACCAGCACAACCCTCTCCAACCCGCGCCTCCCCAGCCACCGAACCTCCAGCATCCGAACCACAGCCAGCAAGTCCGGGAGGTCCGGGAGCACCCGGACCTTGAGGCTCGGCGACGAGGCTGCGGCAGACTCGGGGAGGGCGATCTCTCTCAAGATCTTGCGCCAGGCGGGGATGCCGCGCACGCTGTCAACGCTGATGCACAACGCCAACACGCTCACGGCTGCCCAGGCCACACCTGAGCGGCTGTTCCTGCTGCTCGACATGGCTGCTGCTGTGGAGGAGCTCATGCCCCAGGTGGGGAACGAAGGGGAGTGCCGGGGGTGTTTGGGTCAGTGCAGCTCATTCTCCTGGTGGGGTTATGAATTGGGAGGCAGATAGGGGTGTTAGAGTTGGGGTTGGGGTTCATGGCAGGCGGGGATGCTGTGCTGTGGACTCTGTCAACGCTGATGCACAATGCCAACACGCTTACGGCTGCTCAGGCCATGCCTGAGCGGCTGTTTCTGCTGCTCAACATGGCTGCTGCTGTGGATGAGCTCATGCCTCAGGTGGGCAGTTGGGGTTGGGAGGGGGGGCTGGGGTGTTTGTTGGGGTGTTGGTTGTGTTTGGGTGAGAGGAGCTCAGTTGTCAGCTGGGAAGCTGATGGCAGAGGGAGATGGGGTTTTAGGGTTTAGGGCTGGGGATTATGGGAGGGTTTAGGGTTGGGGATTATGGGAGGGTTTAGGGTTGGGGATTATGGGAGGGGGTGCCGCGCACCCTGTCATCACTGATGCACAATGCCAACACACTCACAGCCGCACAGGCCACAGCCGAGCGACTGTTTCTGCTGTGTGGGCCTGAGGTTGCTGTGGGTGAGCTCATGCCCCAGGTTGGCTCGTTGTGTGGGCTAAGGTCTGGAGATTTTGGGTCTAATTTGGTGTTTCGTGGTAAGAAGCCTATGGACTATAGTTCACTCAACTCTCTCTCTCCCCTACTCTCTTTATCCCCTACTCCCTCTCTCCCCTACTCCCCACCAGGTGGAGCGGCTAGTGTGCTGGTCGGACAGCGAGGGGCTGCTGGCGGAGTGGAGGGGGCTAACACGAGGCGTGGCCAAAGCGGTGCTGGGCACATTTGATGCGCTCATTGCCACTCTGCAGGTGCCCGTGGAGCAGCCCCGCAGAAACAAGTGGTGAGTGGGAGGGAGCGAGCTTGGGAAAGGGAGGGAGCGAGCTTGGGAAAGGGAGGGAGCGAGCTTGGGAAAGGGAGGGAGCGAGCTTGGGAAAGGGAGGGAGCGAGCTTGGGAAAGGGAGGGAGCGAGCTTGGGAAAGGGAGGGAGCGAGCTTGGGAAAGGGAGGGAGCGAGCTTGGGAAAGGGAGGGAGCGAGCTTGGGAAAGGGAGGGAGCGAGCTTGGGAAAGGGAGGGAGCGAGCTTGGGAAAGGGAGGGAGCGAGCTTGGGAAAGGGAGGGAGCGAGCTTGGGAAAGGGAGGGAGCGAGCTTGGGAAAGGGAGGGAGCGAGCTTGGGAAAGGGAGGGAGCGAGCTTGGGAAAGGGAGGGAGCGAGCTTGGGAAAGGGAGGGAGCGAGCTTGGGAAAGGGAGGGAGCGAGCTTGGGAAAGGGAGGGAGCGAGCTTGGGAAAGGGAGGGATCGAGCTTGGGAAAGGGAGGGAGCGAGCTTGGGAAAGGGAGGGAGCGAGCTTGGGAAAGGGAGGGAGCGAGCTTGGGAAAGGGAGGGAGCGAGCTTGGGAAAGGGAGGGAGCGAGCTTGGGAAAGGGAGGGAGCGAGCTTGGGAAAGGGAGGGAGCGAGCTTGGGAAAGGGAGGAAGCGAGCTTGGGAAAGGGAGGGAGCGAGCTTGGGAAAGGGCAGGAGCGAGCTTGGGAAAGGGCGGGAGGGGGGATAAGCAAGTGGCGCTGGGCACATTTGATGCGCTCAGTGCCACGCTGCAGGTGCCCGTGGAGCAGCCCCGCAGAAACAAGTGGTGAGTGGGAGGGAGCGAGCTTGGAAAGGGAGGGAGCGAGCTTGGGAAAGGGAGGGAGCGAGCTTGGGAAAGGGAGGGAGCGAGCTTGGGAAAGGGAGGGAGCGAGCTTGGGAAAGGGAGGGAGCGAGCTTGGGAAAGGGAGGGAGCGAGCTTGGGAAAGGGAGGGAGCGAGCTTGGGAAAGGGAGGGAGCGAGCTTGGGAAAGGGAGGGAGCGAGCTTGGGAAAGGGAGGGAGCGAGCTTGGGAAAGGGAGGGAGCGAGCTTGGGAAAGGGAGGGAGCGAGCTTGGGAAAGGGAGGGAGCGAGCTTGGGAAAGGGAGGGAGCGAGCTTGGGAAAGGGAGGGAGCGAGCTTGGGAAAGGGCGGAAGCGAGCTTGGGAAAGGACGGGAGCGAGCTTGGGAAAGGGCAGGAGCGAGCTTGGGAAAGGGCGGGAGGGGGGATAAGCAAGTGGCGCTGGGCACATTTGATGCGCTCAGTGCCACGCTGCAGGTGCCCGTGGAGCAGCCCCGGCGGAACAAGTGGTGATTGCGACAGCAGGGAGGCAGGTAGGAGTTTCCAATAGAAGCGGCGAGGGGGGGGGGGGGGGGGGGGGGGGGGGTTCTGAGAGCAAATGGTGAGAGCTGCCATACAAGGGCGAATTGTGGGCATGGGTGGGAGGAGTCCAGGGGTTTGGGGTTTGGGGTTTGGGGTTTGGTGGTTGAGCGAGTGCAAATGGTGAGAGCAGTGAGGAAAAACAAGTGGGGAGCGTGAGGTGGGGTTGACCTCTGTGTGTCCCTTGTGCCCCATGTGACACCCTGTGTGTATTGTGCCGTGTGTGTCGAATCTTATCCCTTGTACCTTGTGCTGTGCACCGTGTCTTATCCCTTGTACCTTGTGCTGTGCACTGTGTCTTATCCCTTGTACCTTGTGCTGTGCACCGTGTCTTTTGTGCTGCACTGCGCTATGCTGAGCAGGCGGTTGTTCCGAGGAGAGGGCAGCAGCAGCGGCAAGGAGGGTGGGGGAGGGGGCGGGTACCCACCGGGATGGGGTGTGGAGAAGAGTGGAGGCGTGCATGCCGTTACCAGCTATGTCATCAACTACATTGCCACCTACCTGGGCAGGTGCGTGTGTGGGCAGATAGGTGTGTGGGCAGATGGGTGTGTGGGCAGGTGCGTGTGTGGGCAGGTGCGTGTGTGGGCAGGTGCGTGTGTGGGCAGGTGCGTGTGTGGGCAGGTGCGTGTGTGGGCAGGTGCGTGTGTGGGCAGGTGCGTGTGTGGGCAGGTGCGTGTGTGGGCAGGTGCGTGTGTGGGCAGGTGCGTGTGTGGGCAGGTGCGTGTGTGGGCAGGTGCGTGTGTGGGCAGGTGCGTGTGTGGGCAGGTGCGTGTGTGGGCAGGTGCGTGTGTGGGCAGGTGCGTGTGTGGGCAGGTGCGTGTGTGGGCAGGTGCGTGTGTGGGCAGGTGCGTGTGTGGGCAGGTGCGTGTGTGGGCAGGTGCGTGTGTGGGCAGGTGCGTGTGTGGGCAGGTGCGTGTGTGGGCAGGTGCGTGTGTGGGCAGGTGCGTGTGTGGGCAGGTGCGTGTGTGGGCAGGTGCGTGTGTGGGCAGGTGCGTGTGTGGGCAGGTGCGTGTGTGGGCAGGTGCGTGTGTGGGCAGGTGCGTGTGTGGGCAGGTGCGTGTGTGGGCAGGTGCGTGTGTGGGCAGGTGCGTGTGTGGGCAGGTGCGTGTGTGGGCAGGTGCGTGTGTGGGCAGGTGCGTGTGTGGGCAGGTGCGTGTGTGGGCAGGTGCGTGTGTGGGCAGGTGCGTGTGTGGGCAGGTGCGTGTGTGGGCAGGTGCGTGTGTGGGCAGGTGCGTGTGTGGGCAGGTGCGTGTGTGGGCAGGTGCGTGTGTGGGCAGGTGCGTGTGTGGGCAGGTGCGTGTGTGGGCAGGTGCGTGTGTGGGCAGGTGCGTGTGTGGGCAGGTGCGTGTGTGGGCAGGTGCGTGTGTGGGCAGGTGCGTGTGTGGGCAGGTGCGTGTGTGGGCAGGTGCGTGTGTGGGCAGGTGCGTGTGTGGGCAGGTGCGTGTGTGGGCAGGTGCGTGTGTGGGCAGGTGCGTGTGTGGGCAGGTGCGTGTGTGGGCAGGTGCGTGTGTGGGCAGGTGCGTGTGTGGGCAGGTGCGTGTGTGGGCAGGTGCGTGTGTGGGCAGGTGCACGTGTGGGCAGGTGCGTGTGTGGGCAGGTGCGTGTGTGGGCAGGTGCACGTGTGGGCAGGTGCGTGTGTGGGCAGGTGCGTGTGTGGGCAGGTGCGTGTGTGGGCAGGTGCGTGTGTGGGCAGGTGCGTGTGTGGGCAGGTGCGTGTGTGGGCATGTGCGTGTGTGGGCATGTGCGTGTGTGGGCAGGTGCATGTGTGGGCAGGTGCATGTGTGTGCAGGTGCTTGCTGCACGCACTTGAGCCTCCCTAAAGTCACACTGCAGTGGGGGCGTGCATGCTGTCACCAGCTACGTGATCAATCAACTACATTGCCACGTTCCTGGGCACGTGCGTGCGTGCTGCAGACGTCTGTGTGTACCCATAGATGTGCCCATAGATGTGCCCATAGATGTGCCTCATGCCCCCCGCATGTGCTTTGTCACGCTGCAATTGGGGCGTGCATGCTGTCGCCAGCTACATCGCCACCTACCTGGGCAGGTGCATGTGTTTAGCATGGGGTAGGTAGGCATGACATGATGCTGGCAGTGCTGTTAGTAGCAATGTTTTGAGACGTCTCAAAACACTTCTTTTATCACGTGTTTAGTAATGGGGTAGGCTTGACATGCTGGCTGGCTCTGCTGTTAGTAGCAATCACCACAGCTGCATGTAGGGCATCCAATGTAAGGCAGGTCGGTGTGTGTGTGGCCCACCCAACCCCACCCACCCACCCACCACCCATTGGCTCATTGTGGACGGATGGTATCCTATCCACCTTTCGCCCCACCCTCACGGGAGTGCCACGATTGCGGACGCATGGGTACGACACAATGCTGGAGAAGCTGCTGAAATCCCTCACCACACCACGGCAAAGGGCGTAAAATCAAGCATATCAACCCTTCCTTCCCTGCCTGCACCCCCGTGCCCCTCACAGGAGTGCCACGTCATCGCGGGCGTATGGGTACGGCACGATGCTGGAGAAGTTGCTGGAGTCGCATGGGCAGGGGCGCAGCATGGAGGAGGAAACTATGAAGGTGACGGGCAGGGGGAAGGGTGGGGAAAGTTGGGGAGGGGGGGGGGTGGGAGTGAGAGGGGGGAGAAGTGGGGGCTGGGGGAAGTGAGGGCTGGGGGAAGTGAGGGGTGGGGGAAGTGAGGGGTGGGGGAAGTGAGGGGTGGGGGAAGTGAGGGGTGGGGGAAGTGAGGGGTGGGGGAAGTGAGGGGTGGGGGAAGTGAGGGAACAACAACCTGCTAAATAGTGCTTCTCGACCCCCCTCCACTGCTCTCGACCCCCTTCCACCCCTTCCTTCTCCCCTGTACAGGTGATAGATGCACTGGTATGTAACATGGAGGCCCGGGCCAGCACGTGCAACAACCCACTGCTCAAGTCACTCTTTCTCGTCAACAACATCCTCTACATTAACCGGTGCGTTGCATACTCATCTTTGGGCCGCCCCAATATTTGAGGTGCCCCAGTATTTGCCATGTTCGGGGGGGCCTCAAAAAAAGACTCGCGAACAACATCCTCCACATTGGCCGCTCTAAATTCCCCGGTGCGTTTTATTCTGTCTGTCTCTTGTCCTTTCAGTTTTCTGACGTAATGTTCCTGCAAAGTTCTCCGTGTCGGCGTGCAGGTGTTTCGTATCCTTTCTGTGTTGACGTTAGCCTCTCAAAGGAAGTTTTTTTCCTTCATCTCTGCTCCTGCACACACTCTCACCCCTTTCACCCCTCAACGCCCCACCACACCTCTGCTACCTTGGGCAGGTTGAGTGAAAAGATTCACCTGCCCCTGGAGAATCAGAAGCTGCTCGAGGCCCAATCAAAGGCCTTCAGAGAGGCTGGGCTGCAAAAGGTAAGCAGATGGTGGTGTAGGACGCATTACTGTGTGCCACATAACGTGTTACTCTGTGCTACATGTTACATTGTTGCGTGTTATTGTGCCCTGTGTTACTGTGAGCCGCGCGTTACAGCATGCCGAGCTGAATAATCTATGTTGCACTCATTCTCGCCGCGCAGCACACATTACTACCCCACACAACATGTGGCAAGGTGCCCATTTCCCTGCCCCCTCTTCCGTCCCTTTGTCTCTCAGCCACCCACATGCCTCTCCACCTCACCTGACCCTCCTCCCATATGCCTGTCTGCTTGCCGCTGCTGCTGCTGCAGGTGACGGCGTCGTTGGGTGGGCGAGGGAGGAGTGCCGCCATGGAGCCCAGTGAAGTCAACCGGCGGTGAGTCTGAGTCAACCAAGTCAACAGGCGGTGAGTCTGAGTCAACCAAGTCAACAGGCGGTGAGTCTGAGTCAACCAAGTCAACAGGCGGTGAGTCTGAGGTCGTATCCCGGGCTGGTGGCAAGATACTGTTGGTGGCATGACACCAACTCGGAAAACGCATGGAGGAATAAACCTCCTGGTGTCAGCTAAACCGACCAATCCAATCGCGGGAAATCGTGCAATGTGCCCAACATTGACACCAACCTGGAGCCGCACTCACGCGCGGCTCCACCTGGTGGCAAGCGAATTTCCCGCTTGCCACCAACAGTATCTTGCCACCAGCCAGGGATACGACCTGAGTCAACCAAGTCAACAGGCGGTGAGTCTGAGTCAACCAAGTCAACAGGCGGTGAGTCTGACTGAGTCAACCAAGTCAACAGGCGGTGAGTCTGGGTCAACCAAGTCAACAGGCGGTGAGTCTGAGTCAACCAAGTCAACAGGCGGTGAGTCTGAGACAACCAAGTCAACAGGCGGTGAGTCTGAGTCAACCAAGTCAACAGGCGGTGAGTCTGAGTCAACCAAGTCAACAGGCGGTGAGTCTGAGTCAACCAAGTCAACAGGTGGTGAGTCTGAGTCAACCAAGTCAACAGGCGGTGAGTCTGAGTCAACCAAGTCAACAGGCGGTGAGTCTGAGATGCGGAGGCCATTGAAGTCAACAAGTGGTAAGATAGACGGCGGAATTTAACCAGCCAAGTCTACAGGCGGTGAGTCTGAGTCAACCAAGTCAACAAGGGGCAAGATGATGGAGGCAATCAGGAGTTGGTTGGTCACAACAAAACAGAGGGTCAGTCAGTTAAAGGGACTCAAAATTGAGGTGCCATGCGCCATCGCAAGCTGCCTCAATTAAGCCCTTGTTACTCCCCCCTCCTGCAGTCTGCACCGCTTCAACATTGCGTTTGAGGACACTGCGTTGGAGCAGAAGGACTGGCTGCTTTGTGATGGCATGTGTGCTGCAAGACCCTCTCCTCATCTCTTCTCCTCCCCAACCCCCTCTCACCTCCCCCCTCCTGCAGTCTGCACCGCTTCAACATAGCCTTTGAGGACCTGGCGTTGGAGCAGAAGGACTGGGTGATCTGCGACGGCGCATGGCGCAAGACCACGGTGCACGAGTGGGCGGCGCACCTCAAGCACATCTATGAGGAGTTCCTGGAACCCCACAGGTGCGCTGCTGTTGTGTGTTGCAGCACAGGTACCTCGGGCACTCTTCCAAACCTCCGCCTCCTCTCTTACCCCGCACTCTTCCCCCCTGCCGACCCTGTGCAGTAAGTGCCGATGCACACTCTCGTCCTACCACTGGTAGGCAGGCGCCATTACAAACCTCGTTTGCTCTTCCAACCCTACCCTACCTCCACCCCTTACCCAGCACTCCCACCCAATATCTCCCCGCCATGCAGTGAGTGCCTGCACACGTTCTCCTCATACCACTGGGGACAGACGCCATTACAGAGAGAGGAGAGTGTTAAGCACCCTCTCTTACCCCACATCCTCCCCCCATGCCACTCCGTGCAGTTGGTCCCTCAACCCATACCCTAAACCCTACCCCTAAAAGGCAGACACCATGGAGCGGCTCGTTCCCAAGCACCCTCCCTGTGCACTGAGTATTTCAAACCAACGCGCCCTTCCTTCCCCACACTGTCCCACCCACTTCCTCGCCCTGTGCAGTGAGTGCCTGAGCACCCTCTCCTCCTACCACTGGGAGGCAGACGCCATGGAGCGGCTCGTGCTCAAGTCTTTCTTTGCAACCTCCAGATGACGCCACCTTGCAGGCAGCGGTAACCAGGGCTAATTTTTGGTTTTAAGCAACCCTTATCATCAGTCCTGCACCTTTGCAAAACCCTGATTATCAGTGTGACCCCTTTGGAGAATTCTTTTCCATCAGGGTTTTCTTTTCCATCAGGGTTTTCCATCGTTTCAAGAAATTTACCCTTAGGCCACAGTTGAACAATTTTCAGAACCCTGATGAAGTGTTTGAAACTGAAGTTTCTGAACAAAAACAACGGCTACAGAGATTGATCCCGATCTTCATCCTGCCGAAGACCAGGCTACCAACTGGACCGCATCGGCGTTAAAGCTCCGGTATACATTTGAAGAAAAGGGGTTCAAAATCCTTAGGAACTTGAAAAGTTGCCCCAAAACTGTGAGGGGCACTGCCTGTCAGAATGAACAAGAGTGATTGAACTAGGAAAGAGTTGGGTACAAGTAGGAAACCCTAAACTTACCGTATTACCCCGGATATAGGCGCATCTGCGCTTATAATAAAATCGGTTTTTTTGGGGGGGTGGCGCTTGTAATTGGTTCACGGCCATAAGCGCCGGCGCTTATATAATGACAAATACAGAAATACAACTTAAACGCATCAAATTGTACATTTCAGTCTTGTAATTTTGATCGAGTCGAAATTTATAGCGTCCTGAATCAGAATCGCGTGAGGGCGATTCTCTGACGCTGCACATAGCTTTTGGCACGTCAATTTGCCCGTGTGCCACCTCATCCTGACTGGACGCGAAAGCAGTCAGGACCGCGAAAGTCAAACAAAGCGGAAAATGGGTGCTGGCTCGCTTGAAATCTGAAATTCGCTACCGTTTTAATCAGGATCGAAAAGTAAAATTATGTATGCGCTTATAATAAGTCAGGGTTTTACAGGGGGTGCGCTTATAATCGAGTTCCGGCCATAGGCGCCATGCTCCAGATAGAGGCGCCGGCGCCTTTAATCGGACGGCGCCTATATCCGGGGCCATACGGTACTGTACCCCATAGTAACTACCCCACTACAGCCTAAACAAACTGTAGCAGATATAACATTTGACACACCCCCATAGGCAAAGTGGGGGAGAACAAGGGGTCACAAGACCAGTCAAGAAAGGCAAAGCAAGCTCAGGGTGGATCACAACGTCACCACACACTCTGAGCACAAGCAAAGGGCCACTAGGCCAGTTCACATGCAGAGGCATATATGCAACACAAGCAGCACAGTGATCTATACCTAGCAAAGCAAGCATGCAGGTACATTCATATAAATAGATCACAGTACAGGCAGTGTCTATAACAAGTGAGGAAAAGTGGGCACAAGCCCTAGCAAAGTGCAGAAACGCTGATGATCACCAGACTGAAGCGCCTTGGTGAATATATCAGCAGTGTTGGCCTGAGTGGCCACGTAACGCAGACGAAGCTGACCACGCTGCTGCAACTCTCGAGCCAGAAAGTAACGTAGAGCGATGTGCTTCAGTCTGTGCTCCTCACACAAGGCAATGACAGCCTTGTTGTCGACGTACAGCACTGGAGGAGAACGAGGCCGCTCTCCCAGGTCGGTCAGCAGGTAGGTGAGCCAGCGTAACTCCTGTGCAGCCATGGCTGTGGCGTAGATCTCAGCCTCACAACTGGAGCTGAGAACTGAAGACGAACGTGTAGAACGCCACGAAACTGAGCCAGAGCCGAGGCTGAAGGTGTAACCCTGTGACGACCGCTGAGTAGCCTGGTCGTCAACCCAAGAAGCGTCTGAGTGCCCAGTGAGAACAACTGGGCTCCCTCCTCCAAGCACGAGCCCCATGCCCGATGTACTGCACAAGTAGCGCAATACCCTCTTTGCAGCATCCCAGTGCACCTTTCGGTGCCTGCCAGGAGCCACGTAGCGGGCCAGAAGGCCAAGAGGGTACGCTAGGTCAGGACGAGTGCAAGTCATCAGGTACATGAGGCAGCCAACTAGCTCTGGGTAAGGACCACTCGGCTCTACGGACTCATCCGAAGGCAGAGCTGAGAGCGAGTGACCTGTAGCCAGAGGAGTGGCCTGTGCTGAGGACCAGGTGAAGCCGAAGCGCTGAAGGACCTGCTGCACCATGTGTGACTGAGTCAGTGTGATGGTGCGCCGTGCTCTGTCCCGGGTGATCTGCAAGCCAAGGTAGCTGCGCAGTTCACCCAGGTCTGTGCACGTGTGTCTCTTCTGCAGCTCCGACTTCACGTGGGCGAGAGCCTCAGTGTCAGCAGTGGCAAAGACCAAGTCGTCGACGTACACGAGGATGTAGAACGGCGGCAGCGAAGTGTCGGTGCGCAGAAACAGCGACGGGTCAGCAGTAGAAGGCGCGAACCCAAGTGCCGCAAGAGTAGTCCTCAGTGTGTCATGCCACTCACGTGGCGCCTGGCGGAGACCGTAGACCGGCCGTCGGAGGCTCCACTGGGTACCAGGAGGAAACGACCCAGTGAAGCCAGGAGGGCGACGCAGCCAGATCTCCTCGTGCAGGGTGCCCTGCAAGAAAGCTGTGCTGAAGTCAAGAGAGTGAAGCTCGTAGTCACGCTGAGCAGCAACGTGCAGTAGCACCCGAAGAGTGGTCATCTTCGGGGTGGGGGAGAAGGTCTGAAAGAAGTCTACTCCCTCTCGCTGACTGAAGCCTCGAGCAACGTAACGAGCCTTGAAGACAGGCGGAGAACCTGACGGCCGCTTCACCCTTAAAATCCACATGCCACTGACGATGTTCGCCCCAGGAGGGGGAACCTCGTCGACGTAAGTGCCAGTGGACTTCCAGGATGCCATCTTTGCGTCCATGGTTGTCTGCCACTGAGAGGAGTAGGGACCCGCGATCGCCTCAGCGTAAGAGCGCGGGGTAGGGATGTCTGGAGCATCCGGGTCTCCCTCAGGGGCAAGCAGCATGGACACGAGATGAGGCGCAGCGGCTGCAAGACACTCAAGGTCCTCCTGTCTGTCCTCAAGGACGTTCGTGCCAAGAGCACACTCACCCCCGATGGACGGAGGACAGACAGACTCAGACTCAGCAACAAGACTCGCGGCGTAGTCTAGACGACAGCGAGCAGCAAAGTCGACAAGCTCAGCAACTAGGGCAGACGCAGCAGCAGTCTCAAAGGAAGGGTCAGTGACAACAGTGGCCAGGAGACGCGTGACAGTAGGACTGGCAGCACGAAGAGAGTCAGACTCTGGGTCAGCAAGAACAGGAAGAGAGGACGCAGGAGGAGACGGTAGAGGGACACGCTGTGGAGCAGTGGAAGGACGCAGAGTCATATAGTGTGTGCCAGGGACAGGTGGAGGACGCTCACGCGGAACACGGCGACCAGTGCGAGCAGCACGAACAGGTGACACTGGACGAGACACAGGCGACACAGGACGAGACTCAGGCTCACGACGCTCTGTAAGACCGCCTGTCGGACCAGTGTAGGGAGAGGGACCAGGAAGTGGCGAGGCAGGTGGTAGCTGCGACTGCGACTGGACAGGCGGAGGACAAGCTAAGGAGGGAGGAGGACTAGGAGGAGGCGACTGACCAAGAACCTGCTGAAGGAGCGGAACGAAGTACGGCCGCGGCCGTGAAGTGCCCCCAGAAGCAGCAGAGACAGCACCAGAACCTCCTGCCGAACCAGCACCAGCAGCACCTCCAGCAGCTCCAGAGCCTCCAACAGGACCAGCAGCACCTCCAGCTGCTCCAGAGCCTCCAGTAGCACCAGCAGCACCTCCAGTAGCTCCAGGACCTCCAGCAGCACCAGCAGCACCTCCAGCAGCTCCAGGACCTCCAGCAGCACCAGCAGCACCTCCAGCAGCTCCAGCACCTCCAGCAGCACCAGCACCAGCAGCACCTTGCAGACGTAGGACAGGAAAGTCCGACTGGAACCGGTCGCGGAGCTGGAGACGAGCAGCGCGGATCCAGGGGATCAAGACATCAGGGACCTCACCCTTGGTACGCAAGGGGAAGACCGTGGTGTAGCGCGTGTAGTCGTCGACGACCAGCAGAAAGTACCGCTCGTGGCCCTGTCCCCGGACGCGGGCGGGGCCCCACACGTCCAGGTGGAGAGTCTGCAGGGGAGCCTCTGTGGGAGGGAACGAGGAGGAGTGAGGAGCGGCGCGCTGCCGCCCCTCGACACAGGGAAGACAGGGAGGAGCAGGCGAGGGAGGGAGGGGAGGGAGAACCCTGGGAAGACCAGAGACAAGGAACCGGGAGTGCATGCCGCGAAGGCGCTGCACTGACGGGTGACCAAGGCGGTGGTGCCAGAGGACAGTCCGGTGCGACAGGGAGCGACACGAGCAGGGGGCCGACAGCTGACCTGACGCAGACGCAGACGCAGCTACCTGAGGGGACTCAGTGGTCAGTGTGTACAAGTCCGACCCCGGCTGCCGAGTGAAGGTAGCCAGGTGACGACCCGTCTGGGCACACGTGCAGTGCGT